CATAAACATTAAACGCTGGTAAAATATATAAACAAATTTATGCTGCTTTATCACCTTTAATGATTAGATTTGGGGTAAATAGGACTAAATAAATATAATTATTAATCATAAAGTTGGATGTAACATGAGTTGAAAGTCGGGCGTTGTACGCGTCCATTGACCGCCATCTTGGAATTTTATAGTGATTGTACATCGACATGAAAGCAACTATTGTAAATTATACCATATCGGAAAAAAAAGGATGACAAATTCAATGTTTCAAAGAAGCAATACAAACCATTACTATGGCAATCATAAAATTAATAAAAATAAGCTTGCTTAAATGCCAGTGGGTTAAGTTTAAAAAAATGTACATTCATTAGAGTTAGCAAAATAAATAACCAAAGTGCTGTTTTATTTCATGTACACTACCGGAATTTGTACTACTGTTACATATAAAAATGATATGTCAAACTATCTTACACAGTTAACTCCGGCGGTACTAAGGGGGAAAACCGCGCCATGGCTACAGAGGTGGGGGCTATAGGCTACACAAATGGAAAGTTACTACGGCGGCCTGGACAACCGTGCAGCACCTCAACAGTCCAAAACAATCAAAAAACCTCTTGGCCGCTTCCTCAGAATCTGCCAATTAATGTAGAAGGCCTAACCACAGCAAAGACTGAGATTTTGGAAATAATGGGAAGAGATGAGATCAACGTCCCACAATCAATGTCCCATATACTAGATGACTGTCCGCTGTACAAATTCAATGGAGGAATCTCCAATCTCCACTCAGTCACCCCGGAAGCCCTGAACTGGCTGAAGGCCTTGCCTCTCAGACTTTAATGACCGAGATGTCCTCACTTCTTTTTTCTAGATTTGATTCATTTTGTCTCCTCTTTAATTGTAAAGACGTTGCTGTATCACCTCATAAGCATAAATAAATAAAATATAAAAATGATCATTACATAAAATATAAGCTAAGGGAGAGGTTTATGGGAAAGCATGACTAAACTCGTCTAGGATTGAGGATCGAGGCGGACACTTAAGTCTGGACATTATGTTCATATATGGACATAAAAAATAAAATAAACAATCGCACTACTGAATAAAAGAAGAAAAAAAAAATACCAGCGTGCTATTAAACCTGTCGGATGAAATCACTTGGTAAAAATTAAAAATTATAATTGAAAACATTTATAAATTAAATGAATCGCATGACATATGCACATTAAATAAGAAAACAAATGCTTCGAATTATTATATTGATAACGTTAAATACCATAAAGATAAGAGAGAACTGAGAGAACAATTTGACAAATTCAAAAATATCTTCAGACTTATCGAGCGGAAATTCTGATGGATGGAAAATAATTAAAAAATAAAATGATTAAACCTTGGTATAAAATAAGTCGCATTGATTTTTAAAATTCAGAAGGTGATGGTGAAAAACTAAAAGAAGATGGAATATCTAAGACGTGAAGTCTTCCCGCAAGAGCGGGGAGGGTAGTAAAAACCGACCTTTTCAATTCAGATGCTGGCAGTCAACTGATTCCTTAGTTGTTTTCTCCTTCCGCCTATAGTGAACACATGTGTTTTACATATGTCCTCCCCAAAAATACCTCTCTTCTCCACCCCCCATGCACACGTGTTAGCAGGAGGGGGGAACACATGTGTCCCTAAGGACTCCAAATTTGGAACTCGTGGGAAATTCTCAGGTTTTTGAGAAAGCATTGTTCTTTTCAGGCCTAAGTTCGCGTCCCAATGTTTTAAGAACCATCCAAAACAATATTCAAAGAAGAAAAAAATAGGTAGACCAAAGCGTGACTCTTTTCACTAATAAGACGTTCACCAAATACACACAAAAAAATGGATATTGCAAAGTTCGCTCTAAAACATAAAAAAAAAACACTAAAGTGAACTAAATGTTAGACATTGAACAGACTCAAAACGATTATCCACCATTACAACGTATTCTTAAAGTGGATGAAAGACAACTTCGAATAAAAGGTATAAAATTACACGTGTGCAAAATATGGAAAGGCGTCTTGAACAAAATATAAAATATTGACTCAAAACGATTGCACGCCATTATAACGCATATTTTGGATATTAAACAAAGCTTGCTTTAAAACATGAAATATACAAAAAATGAACAAATTAGACATTAAACATCTTTTTGAATAAAAGAAAGAAAATGACACACGCGAACAGATAACGGTGATTCTGAATACATAGTGAAATGATAAAAATTTTTTAACTTACAACGGTCGTACGCCATTGTAACGCATTTTCTGGATATTAAACAAGGCCTGCTTTAAAACATGGAGGAAAAAAATTACACTAAAATGGGCAAATCAAACACTAAACTTCTTTGTGAATTTCTATTTAAGCCTAACGCAATAAAAAATTCAGCTTACAATGTTTTTTTTTTATTTTAAGCATAACATATCTTTTTACACACTAGCAATTACCCAGCAAAGTACATAAAAAGTGCATAGATATGGCGGTTTTTTTTTTATTTAAGCCTAACGTAATAAAAAATTTAGCTTACAACGTTTTTTTATTTAAACCTAACGTAAATTTTATATGCTGACAATTCTCCAGCAAAACACACAAGGAAGTGTCTAGATGTGGCGCGCGTTTTTTTTTATTTTAAGCCTATCGTAATATGTGGCAGAGTCATGGATTTTTATCTCAGGTCGTAGGGTTTACTTCTTGCAAAGTTGCTTTGCAATTTTCAACAGTAACTCGCCCCGCGGCGGGCGCCAAATGTAAGAACTCTTCTTACGTCCCATTTGAGGACGTCTCTATTTCTAATCCGGTCTAGCTCATTTCCAATTATATTCCAGTGGATTTTATTTAAACACATACACACAGAAAAAAATATAATACACACCAAGGATATACATGTGATTTGTAGTTAATTATTGATAGCATAATACCAACACACTTTTAAAATATTGAACATTAAAATTTATTCACTTCTATGGAATTTACAATAAAATTTTTTATTTATCAGTAGACAGCATGAGTAGGCTTAAAAAAAGTTTAATTTCTTTTGCAAATTATAAAATCCCTATAAAAGAAATTTGACTGAGAACCTACACTTTGGTATTTCAACCAAGTTACCGCATCTAGATAAAATGATCAATCAAGATGACCAATATAAAAAAAGAACATAAAGGATTTATATCTCTATTCACTATATATCTTAAATAGTCGAATCTACCAAAAAAATTACTATCTATCATGGCTATTACCATTCTTTCTACATGGACCTCTTTAGGTCTACATATTAAAAACATATGATGTGGTTGGACTTACCAAATATTTTCTCTACATACCATTTCCAAACTTGTCTTGGCTACCCCTATGGCCCAGGACGTCCCGTTTTTTGGTCATCTTCCCCCGATAAAAACTGATAAGAACTGCTGTTATTTTCAAACAGCGCCGCCCATAAAAAATTGTCACCTTCTTACAGAGTAATAAGAAAAAAAAAAGAAATTAATATTCTTTGAATATAATTAAATAATAAAATATTATTATTATTTTTAAAAGAGAAAAATTTGAAATATTAAATATACATGCTTATCCTTTGAGAAATTTATAATAATTTCTTCTTCAAGAAATTTAAATAACTAGACACACCCATTTTATCTAGATGTGTAGAAATTTATAATAATTTCTTCTTCAAGAAATTTAAATAACTAGACACACTCATTTTATCTAGATATGTGTGTGATCGATTTTTATTCATTTTAGAATAAAATAAACAATAAAGGAAAAATTATATTAACTTTCTTATCAAGAGATAATTTGGATTAGTAATAAAATTAATAAAATCTAACATGTTTTTGCCCCTTTGAAAAATTTATATAATAAATTTCTTCTTTAAGAAATTCGAAATTAAACTTCTTCTTTTTTTAAAAGAAAATTTTGAGATAAATAATAAAATTGATCTGGGTATGTATTTAATTGGTTTTTATTCATTTTATAATAAAGAATGGACTTGAAATTTCCCTAAAGGTAATATGATTTTGGACGTTTCATTGCACATAAAAGGGTGATTGACATTAGATAACATATGCACATATGTACATAGCTTGTATATCCTCCGCTAGACCTCTCTGCAATGGGCTCCAGGATCCTTAGGCAGGGCCGATGTCATCTCCAGCTGGTCACCTTCTCCGGCTTCTGGTCTTTAAAGGCATATGTGTCATCTCCACCTTTCTGGACTTTAAAGGCATAGGTGTCATCTCCAGCCGGTCGTCTTGGAGTACCCGCCCAGGGTTGCTTCCAGTTCTTCATTCTCCAATCCGCCTTGTTGTTGTCTTTTTGTGGAGGGTAGGCCGGTATCTTGGTCACGGTGCCACCCGAGTCATCTCCGATTGGGCGTCCTCCCCTGCCTCGACCTTTGGAGCACCGTCGGCCATCGTTGTGGAATTTCCATCTGGACAACAAACATTTCGGCAAGACACTGTGTATATATATGATGTAAATGTTTACATCATTGTTGGGTCTTATTTTGTGGAAAATCTGGCCCAACATGGTCAACTGGTTCTTCTGAGCAGCCCAGTCAAGCCATGATTAGAACTGCTACTTTGTACTAGTAAGCTGAACAGCCAGGGTGGCTGGCATGCTGTACTCTGTGAAGCCCAGTTAGCTGTATCTCAGTTACTACTGGAAGAAAGAGAGGTAAGTTGATGTTTTTTTGCTTATCCCTAGTACATGTGGTACAGGCCATGATAATCATGGTGGGTAAAAGTAGACAACTGCTTTTACTGTAAGTGCACCACATGTCTACACATGTGAAAAGTGACTTTGCACTTACAAAATGTGCCAGAGCCCCGTTTGGTTACTTGCACTCACTGGTGGGATTGGACCTTTGCAAGAAGCAGGGGCCATTGGAGCATTTTTTTTCAATCAGAAAAAGTGCCCATTGTGGGAATCGAACCCAGGTCGTAGCAGTCGAAAACCAACAGTTTACACCATCCTTCCACCGACCCCCTTAAAAATGCGACAGCCTAGATTCAAACCGGGTCAACTGCTTGGAAGGCAGCTATGCTAACCATTATACCACCGTCTTCTAGTTGAAGGTAATTACTTCAGCAGGGGGATGAGGAAAAGTGGACTGATGACAAAGAACTGCATGTCGTTGGCCAGGTCCACGCCATACAAGAGAAATGGAAGAAGTTGTTGATGTAGAGGGCATTCTGCCACCAGGAGGTGGTCCACAGGCCGGTAGCTCCACAGAGGTCCGGAGTCCAGGTAGAGATACAGTGTAGTTCAGAACGCCAGGATCAGCATCTACGTAGGGGTCAGTCATAGAAACCGGTGGATCTGTCTACGTCACTCTGAGTAGTTTTCTCCATGTCCACATTTGATAAGCTTCAATTCTTTCTTTCTAAGAGTCCATCTCTTACATCCATAAGTGTTAAATATCCATTATAGTGGGCCAGCGGCTCGAAAACACGACCCCATCGAGCAACACATGGTGGCGGTGGGCGTGGTGTGCGCCTGCGCAGGATCGAGTATAGAACAGTTGCTTTTACAGACAAAGAAAAATGGCGGTTGCCAATGTTTACGTTTTGGTTTCATTTTCTTTTGTTCTTTAGTTTATATATATTTATATGTGTGAATAAATAATACGAGGGTTGTCCGTTAAATAAGTTCCACGGAGGTTTTTCATAAAGAAAAACAGGTTTATTTGCCCTGAACTATACATTTTCGAAAATATCAGACTTTTTTTCATTTTTCAACATATTCCCCGTTTCGTTCGACGCATTTTTGCATTCGGGATACCCACTTATGGAACCCATAGTCAAAGAACTCTGCCGCCTGGCCGCGTAGAAGCCTAAAACCGCTTCTTCCAACTCGTCATCGTCCTGGAATTGGGTTCCACCCAGGTTTTTCTTCAACTCGGGGAAGAGATGAAAGTCACTAGTAGCTACGTCCGGGCTGTAAGGTGGGTGTGACACCAATTCCCATTCAAATTCTTCGATGAGGGCAGTGGTTTGATGGGCGGTGTGCGGCCGAGCGTTGTCGTGGTGAAAACGCACCCCTTTGGTTAACGTCTCTCTCCTCTTGTTCTGAATCGCGCGTCGAAGTTGTTTCAAGGTCTCACATTACCGGTCGGAATTGATTGTTGTACCCCGACGCATAAAGTCGCACAACAATGGACCATTTCGGTCCCAAAAGACGGTAGCGATAAGTTTCCCGGCAGAAAGTGTTTGTTTAAACGTTAGAGGTTTCGGCGAAGAAGTGTGCTTCCACTGCTTGAATTACTCCTTTGTCTCCAGTGTGGTGCAGTGTACCCAGGTCACATCACCAGTAACGATTGAATCCAAGAATTCCTCTCCGTCAGTTTTGTGGCAATCGAGAAATTTCTGGGTCGCATCAACTTGCTGCCGTTTATGGTCTTCAGTCAGCATTTTCGGAACCCATATTGCGCAGACCTTTGAATACCCTAAATGTTCACGCAAAATCTTGTCGATGGTGGTTTTACTGACATCAGGAACCGAATCGCAGAGCTTCCGCACAGTAACACTTCGATCTTCAAGCATTGCCGCTTCGACTTTGGCAATGGTTTCGTCCGAAACCGATGGCCGTCCAGCACGCGATTCATCGTGGTCGTCTGTTCGGCCGTTTTTAAATTCTCTGACCCATCTGCGCACTATCCCGGAACTCATACACCCTTCTCCTTACACTTGACAGAGTTCAGTATGAATGTCCTTCGCCGAATTATTTTTTGCGGTCAAAAAGCGAATTACTGACCGTAATTCACAGCTGGCGGGAGACACGAGGGGAAGCTTCATCACTAACGGCTGCTCAGCCAAAACTAAGGTTACCAGCGACGTGTCCTTGGTGGGAAATTGGAGTGGGGAGAACAAGCTACGAGCCCGTGTAGTCGGCTCGAGCCTAAAGGGGATCCTCATGACAGTAGTGCCCCGTGGAACTTATTTAACGGACAACCCACGTATTATCTTTAATATATTTCAAATTCAATTAAAATTAAAAGCAATAAATAAAGGCTTTTGTAAATTCTATTTATTTTTCTTATTAATTAACAAAAGTAGCGAGCCTGCCAGGATGGAACGTGACAAGAAGGTGCGCTCAGTAACCAGAACGCGATTTACTAAGGCAGTAAATGTTTTGGATTCCGAAATAAGTAAAACTGATGCTGATCTAGGTGTGATCAAGGACAAATTTAGCAAATTAAAAGACATCGATTTCAAATTTAAGGAACTTGACCAGAAGATGTTGGATCATATGATGGTGGCTGATGCAGAAGAAGACACTTTAAATTGTGAAATTGAGGAAGCAGAACATTATTCGGATACCTTCATCACCCTGGAAAGAAAGGTAAGAGAATTAATTGATTCTGATAACAAAAGTGATGTTAAATCCCTGGGAAGCTCAAATGGGTCATTAATGGCCAAAAGTTATAAACTTCCTTAGATCGAAATAAGAAAATTTGATGGAGAACTAATTAATTGGCTTCCATTTTGGGCACAATTTGAAAATATTCATGAGGATACTGAGCTGCATGATGCAGACAAGTTTCATTATCTGGTGCAGTCTATGCAATCAAACACTAGAGCCAGAGAGCTCATAGAAAGCTATCCCCAAACAGCAGAAAACTATACCAAAGCGGTCCAAGCCTTGAAACAAAGGTATGGACAGAAAGATTTGCTTGTTGAAATATATGTAAGGGAACTGCTTAAATTAATGATGGCAAATGTCAAGACTCCACCAGATGAAAGGCGGTCAGTGGCTAAACTATACGACAAACATGAAACACAACTAAGATCTCTGGAATCTTTGGGTGTTGACACCAAGGAAAACACAGCATGATAGAGTCTTGTTTGCCAGAAGATGTGCTGGTTGCTTGGCAGAGATCACCGCTGGATAATTGTGATGCATCAAAAAACTCTGATTCTAACTCCAGCTCTCGCATTAACAATCTATTGGACTTTCTTAGAAGAGAAGTGGAAGGCGAAGAAAGAAGACTTCTAGCCAGGAGTGGATTTGAAGGGTCTTCCCCAAAAGAGAAACTTAGAAATAAGTTTAAGCAGAATTCAAATATACCTACCGCTGCAGGTTTATTTTCTGCCAAGGAGATGGGATGTTTGTTCTATGAAAATAATCACCAAAGTAAAGACTGCATCACTGCTCAATCTATGCCATTCAAGGATAAAAGAGCAAAGATTTATGAAAAGAGGTGTTGTCTGAAATGCCTTAAACCTGGACATTTTGCAAAGGCTTGCAAGAGGACAGTTCAATGTAATATTTGTGCCAAAGGACACTACGTTCTTCTTTGTCCTGACTTGCCCTGCAACCGAAAGGAAAAGACGCATGTCTCTGAAGTAGTGCAGAGTGCTTTAGCCAATCATCAGTGTACAAGAGATGTAATCTTAATGACCTTGATGGTCAATATTATGGGAAATAATGGCTATAAAAGAGTGCGAGCACTTCGGACCCTGGTTCTCAGAAGTCCTATATTTTGAAATCCACTGCAATAGAAGTAAAATTGAAGCCCGTCGGCAATGTAAATATTGCTCATTCATTGTTTGGTGGTACACAAACAGAAACAAAATGCCATAAGGTATATAAGGTCGCATTATGCAGCAACCTATCCGAATTGGACACTCTGAGAGAATTTGAATTCTTAGGTCAAAACATTATTTGTGGAGAGATTCCAAGGACGCCTAAAGGAGCATGGTTGAATGAAATAAAAAGATCTAGAATTTGGCTGTCTGATCTTGGAAAAGATAGCCCCAAGATAGAACTTTTGATCGGCAGTGATATTTATGGAAGCCTTTTGTCGGGATGTGTGAAGCAGCTGGAAAATGGAATAACAGCCATAGAAACACATCTTGGATGGACAATTTGTGGTCCTTCACCGAAGAAAGATGAGCAGACTGATTACTCATCACTGGTGGTCATCAGCATGCACAGTAGAAATATGTCGGTTGATGATTTGTGGGATTTAGAAACGATTGGCATAAAGGATCCCAGGGAAAATCTCACAAAGCTAGAAGAAGATAAGATAGTACACCAGCACTTCTTAAATACTGTTCATCAGCTGGAAGATGGACGCTTTTGTGTAGGATTACCTTGGCTGGGGAACCAAGAAGGAATTTCATCCAATCGTCATATTGCAGAGAGAAGACTATTCAACACAACCCGTAAATTGAGAGCTAAATGTATCTTCAGCGAATATGATAGGGTGTTCCAAGAATGGCTAGCTGAAGGTGTTATTAAAAAGGTGTCTCCAGAAGATTTGAACAGGAAGTGTCATTATCTCCCTCATCACCCAGTGGTTAAAGCCAATTGCAACACCACCAAGATAATACCTGTGTTTGACGCATCATGTAAGGACAAGAGGAATCTTTCATTGAACGATTGCTTGGCAAGTGGCCCAAATGTTATTGAACAGATCCCAGCTATCCTACTGAAGTTTAGAGAAAAGGCTATTGGAGTTATTGCTGACATTAGAAAAGCCTTTTTGCAAATTGAAGTGAAAGAAGAAGATAGAGACTATCTTAGATTCTTATGGTGAAAAAATAATCATCAGATTCAGGTTTTCCGTCACAAGCGAGTTCTCTTTGGTGTAGCCACCTGACCCGTAGCCCCTATTTGCTTGGAGTAGTCATCCTGCATCATCTCGAAGGAGTCTCATCTGAATTTGGAGCTCTTCATCAGAAGTTGATGGAATGTTTGTATATTGATAATTGTGTCACTTCAGTGGATACAGAGGCAGAATTAGGTGATCTGGTGGAGAAATCTACTGAGATATTTGCAAAAGCCAAGATGGATCTCAGAATGTGGCAATTCGGACCTATACACCGAGTCAAGGAAGTCTATTCTAGATTACCTTCTAGTGTTGATATAGAAAGGAGTGAAGAGGCTTCAGTTCTGGGCATGAAATGGGATCTTTTAGAAGATACTCTTAATGTGACCCCTAAGTTCGGAGTTATAATAAACTCACTTTCCAAGAGATCTTTGACCCAATTGGATTCTTAGCTCCTGTCTTATTACCTGCTAAACTACTTATTCAACAAGCCTGGACAGTCAAAACTGATT